GAAGAAGAAGAAGAAGAAGAAGAAGAGGAAGAAGAAGAAGAAGAAGAAGAAGAAGAAGAAGAAGAAGAAGAAGAAGAAGAAGAAGAGGAAGAGGAAGAGGAAGAGGAAGAGGAAGAGGAAGAGGAAGAGGAAGAAGAAGAAGAGGAAGAGGAAGAAGAAGAAGAAGATATAACTTAATCTTGTATTATTAAACCTAGAATTTCCTCATAGAGGATACATTTAGATTTTACCCTAAATTGAGTTATTGGAACTGGTTCACTAATATTAAGGAACTTCTCATCTCTGGGCAGCTTTGTTTCATACCATTAAGTACTTGTGCTGATTTCACCTGACATTTACTTCCTTGCACACTGCAACAGCTCAGTAACTCACATTAAATGTGAAGCTGCAAATAGTCACAGAATGGAGTTTGCCGTGATTCCGCTGAGCAAATATTCTGTGTCACTAAGAAGACAGAAATCTTCCCAAGGTGATATAGCTGAAGTCTACTTTCCTTTCCTCTCACAATCGACTGCCTACTATGAGAATTATCAGTAATCACAGATTGACATTCTCGGTAAATGTTATTAGGTGGGATTCAAGAAGAAGTTACAGCTGAGAAAGACAAAACCAAGCTATTACAAAAGCAACTATTACAAACACTGTCACTGAGCTCACAGTTAGGATTTATCATGATTTAATTTACAAAGAAAGACCATAGGAAACTCTTCTGCAGGTAATACCAATCCTAGTTAAAGACAGTATTTACCACACTTGTTACTATGTGTAATTGCTTTGCCATGAGAAAACGGTCTACTAAAATTCAGATCACAGAGCACAGTTAATACATATTTTCAACATCCTGCTTACTAATAAATAAAGAATGCAGAGACAATACACACCTGTGTCCAAGGAAGGTTTGCTGTGGGTCTATATTTTAAAATTTTTCATGGATCAAGATGCATTAGGAGAACTTCATGAGGAAGATGTTTACAATGTGTCATAGGTATGACTTCAGTGTACTTTTCAGAAAGATGAGGACTGCACAACCCATTCAGAATTGCATTTTGAGTTGACATGATTTATGAGAGAATTGAAATTAAATTTATAGTTAGACTTAGATTAAAGCACATAAAGCTTTGAAAATTTTAAATACAACATTGTACTACATAATAATAATATTTCATCAATAAATAATCTCTGAATAAATGATTCAAAACAAGTTTATGAAACAGAAGTTCAATGTATATATTATACATTCACATATATGTATATATAATTTTGTAAATGTTGTTAATATTATGTCTAAAATTGGATTATGAGGGGTTACTGGACTTAAACCTTAGTTGCTTAAAAGAATGAATCTGTGAGATTGTGGAGTGTTATGTTTTTAAAAAGTAGCCAAAGAAAACATATTTGAATTTAAAAAGTTACATTAAAGTAATCATCTCCACACACAATACTCATCATAAAGTTTCACACTGGGGTGGAAAAAAAATTCAAGATGCAGTTGAAGGTGGAAGTAGAGGACATATTTTGTTTAAACAGCTGGGATTTTTATAAGTTTCTGTATAAAATATAATTAATCACCTTATTTGCTTGTTTTTTTTCACTCTAGAATAAAACAGAGTAAAGATACTGGCAGCTTTCTAGGTCATGATTGTTTATGGAATGTGATAATATGCTAATTTTAGTTTTTTGTAACCTGCTCAAAATGCACTAGGGACTAAACAACAGAACAGAATAAAAACTTCCCTGGCAAGTGGAAAAAAAAATTCTCACTTTTAAGTTACAACTTAATTTTTACTCGGCAGTTTTTTAAATAGATTTTAAAAAGAAAAAAAATAAAATAGTGGAGAAAAAAGTGAGAATGCAGGGTTATTTTTATTTGTTATTAGAAATAATAATTTTTGTTTCTGATAGACAAGTTTTGATTGTAATCTTTACTGATTATTTAATTCTATTTCTAGATTTGTTGACCATTACAACTACTTCAGAATCTGCATAGCTGATGTTTTCTTCAGAGTGGTGAAAAGAACTGAAATGAATGTACTATTTTCATCATGAAGAAGAAAACTATAGTTGAAGGTAAAAACAATATTGAAAGTAAGAAAGGTCGTTTTTGTCATCACTTAACACAGATGTAAGTAAATTTCTCAGAATTGCACTAACACTGTTTATATACTAGAATAAATATTGAAAATGTAATTTATATAACTTTGCATCCTTTCAAATACACCAGAATTATAAAATGATAAAGTTCATATTAAATCTCTATAAAAAACTTTAACAATAATGTGCTTCTGTTTTCAATCAACTACATGTTAAATGGTAGCTGGAAAGAATGTGGTAGTCAGAATCATAATTAAATGTTAAAGGAAGAGTATTTAACAATACATAAAGTCCTACGAAGAAAACAAAATTTCATTTAACACCTGCTAAAATAATCATATTGTTTTGCCTGTTTTTTTTGGTGGCAAATGGCATGTGTACTTAACTAAAATTTTTCAACAAGAAAATTTTAATAAAGTAAAACTAATAAGAATTTTCTCATAAGGAAGGCTCTACAATTTCAAAAATATCTATTAACTAACAGTTATTCACTATTTATTTTTATGCTATTATTTCCAGATGATTTTTATGCTGCAAAGCATTACTTTACTCAGGGTCAAATATAGCCGTAAGGTGTATTAAATATAAAACTAGAAACAGATTTTTAATGATGTCAAAACTGAAAACATTTTAAAGAATATTT